TCACCTCAGGGTTTTGGTTGACGGGAGGGGGAGGAGGATGCACCACCACTGCTGCTGCCGCCGCTACTTGTGCAGCCGCTGCCGCCGCTGCTTGTGCCGCTGCTGCCGCCGCTGCTTGTGCCGCCGCTGCCGCCGCTGCCTCCGGCTGCTCCTCCCCTGCGGCCGCTGCTGCTGCGGCTTGTTCTTCTGCTGCGAGCGCGGCTGCAGCTTGCGCTTGAGCGACGGCGCTGGAGGGAGCAGCCATCGGAAAATCGATCAAGCCCTACGTCCAAACTCTTCTCCGTGCTGGGCACTACCTCGTGGTGTTTTCTTGGTGTGCTTGTCCAATCGAACGCAAACAGACTGCACGAGCGTTCGCTCCCCCACCAGGGGACGCTTCAGCTCTATCCCCTTGAAGTCGAATTCCGACACGCCTCCACCGAACACCGCTTTCCTTCAGAACGCTACATTTTGCTAACACGTGCGTACCCGCCTTGGTTGGGCGATTCGGGGGATATGCCGAACGCGGCTCAATTCTTTTTCCTTGATAAGCTATGGCGTGACGAACGCAAGTTGGTTTCTTGGCTGGACCAGCTTGTATAACTTATCTGTTGTACACGCGGCGGGTAAGGCAGAGGGAAGTAAGCATACCGGTCACCCTGTATAGTCTTAGGGCGCCATCCGCAACTGACCGACATACCCTCTCCCCAGCTGGCGGGTAAGGCAGAGGCAAGTAAGCATACCGGTCACCTTGTAGCCTTAGGGCGCCATCCGCAACTGACCGACATACCCTCTCCCCAGCTGAAAAAAAAAAAACGAAAACCGTTATTTTCTTTCGCTTTTGTTTTTGGTCTTCACTTCAAATCAGCGCTCACAGCACTGATGCCGTCTACTCCAACCCGTGGTCACACAGAAGAGCCCTCTCTACCCTCCCCTCCTGCGGTACTTTACCTTCGATTTTCAATGCGAGAAGAGTTCAGCACTCTCTTCCCTCTGTGTAAACACGAACTAGCGCTATCCACTAGACCAGGAGCGGAAGCGAGGGAAAACTCACTTTGCAAGAATAGCTCGCTTACTTACGCCGGGATTCGAACCCCTAACCTGACCTCTAGAAGGTTTGGAGGATACCGACTAGTTTCGCTTCGAAACTCTCAAACCCGACGTCTAAAAAGTTAAACAAAAACAAATTGGTTCGGAACCCCTTCATTTTTTCTTTCGCCGCATTCCGAGGAGACAGCGGGCCCAAAAATAGTCTAGATACGGCACCAATCAACGGGGCGGGAGGGGGGCGGGAGGAAATGGCGCGGGAAGAAAGCAAGCGAGAAGAGACCAACCGCGTGACGTGACAAAGTGCGGGTGAATTTCAGCGTCTAGTTTTTCTGTTGCCCTCTCCCCCGTTTGCTGCCGCGTTCAGACTGTCTCTACGGATATCCCTGTCTCTGTGCGAGTTTGTTTATGTCCTCGTCTGTCTTTGGTTTATTTCGTTTTATTATTTTTTTTTGTTTTTTACTGGCACGTACTGCTCTACTACTCTCCCTTCTTCCCCTCGCTCCTCGACAAGCTTTTGCTTAGACATGGGTTGTTGTAGCGAAGGGGGGGGTCTTTCTGGCGAGCAGGGCTAGATTCACCCTCAAGGGATGACCGAAACCTTCTTGCTGCTGCGCATCCGCCGCGAGGCGTGCGTGTGGCGGGGGAGTTGGGTCGGCACTGATGGGGTCAGGCGGGAAAATGTAGATGCGCGGGCCTTTCTGGCCGTCGGCGTAGGCAGNTGGCACCGGAGCATGCGGGCGACATCGACCCGTGGCGCACGGACAAACATTTCTATCTGTGTTGTCAATTTTTTTCGTTTTTTTTCTGACTTTGAAAGTTTCCGTGTTGGTTTTGTGTAATGACATCGTCACCGGTTTTGTAGAGAGACCCGTCAGAGATGGCGTGGCTAACCCGGGTGCATTGGTTATGTGCCTGATCGTGGAAGACCCCTTCAATGTGGAACGATTCTTAGCTAGTGTCGATATTTTTCACTGCAGTGCCTAACACAGACGATCGGGAGAGATTCGGGTGATTGTCAATTGCTGCTATGATGGCTTTGGTTGGTTGTTCTTTTTCACTGTACGGCCGCAGACACATTCTGACAGCACTTCAGACAGCAGCTTTGTGCCCCGCCAGCTGCTTGTTCCATGCCTACCATGGTGTTTTTGTACAGACAGCACTTCAGACAGCATTATGCTGTAGTCGGCAATCTTCCGTTTTGGTATAGAGTGGGACAGGGAGGGGGTGATGCTACTGTAGTCGAACGGTGGGACGGACGTGCAGTTCAGTTTTTGGGCACGCATACGGTGCTGCAGGGATTTTTAGGTGTACCTCTTCGGGCTCTTGGATGCCTTTTTCTCGTTACATGTGTGCGTGTCCTTTAGATCCTCAGATGGCTCTAGCACTTTCGTGACCACGGGCTGAGAGTCTATTGCTAGATTTTGGCATTTGGCAACTGACATACGGTTTAATGTGAAGACAACAACAACAACAACAACAACAACAACAACTGCTGACCCTTGGGGTCCTTCCGGAAGGCTACCCCCCAGGCTGTGGTGGTGCGCACGTTCCACTTTTTATTTATTTATTTATTTGTTTCTGATTCTTTGTTTTGTTGTATTTTATCGCTCTGCTAACCCTTGGGGTCCATTATATTTTTTTGGTATACCTTTTCTAGGTACGTTAGCCTGTGACCACGGAAACTGACCGAGTCAAGTGCTGGATTAGTACGGAGAGATCGAGACAGAAGGAGGTACTGGATAGAGAGACCGGGATGGTTTTTAATTTGAAGACAACGACAACAACAACATTCCCGAACTTTTTTGAACTGTTCACCTCGGCAATCGCTTCCGCTTGGTCGATTTAGGGGGGGTAGAGCCACTCAGAAACTTGCTCAGACCAAAACTCAGGTGGGCAGAGCCTCGATCATGAGCTCAGCCAAAGCTGGGCCAGCGGCAGCTGGACTAGCGGCGACTGTGACCAAACCAGGGGGGTGTGAACGCACAGTCCTTCTTGGAAAAGACAAGCACGTCGTCCAGCTCAGTTGGAGGCTTGTCTCCGAGCGCGGGGTGCTGGTGACCGCGACACTCGTTGACTCGAAGCACAAGATCAGGAACTCACAAACCTATAGTGGCTACGCGAAGAACACCGAAGAGGCGGTCAGTGAAAAGGCCAAGGAGCTGACTGACAAGGTCCTCAAGAACAAGCGCGAGCNAACTTGCTCAGACCAAAACTCAGGTGGGCAGAGCCTCGATCATGAGCTCAGCCAAAGCTGGGCCAGCGGCAGCTGGACTAGCGGCGACTGTGACCAAACCAGGGGGGTGTGAACGCACAGTCCTTCTTGGAAAAGACAAGCACGTCGTCCAGCTCAGTTGGAGGCTTGTCTCCGAGCGCGGGGTGCTGGTGACCGCGACACTCGTTGACTCGAAGCACAAGATCAGGAACTCACAAACCTATAGTGGCTACGCGAAGAACACCGAAGAGGCGGTCAGTGAAAAGGCCAAGGAGCTGACTGACAAGGTCCTCAAGAACAAGCGCGAGCAGTGGCAAAAGGCGCAGCAGCGGTCTGGTGGTGGCAGCAGCAGCGGAGGCGTTAGGAGGACGACAGCAGATAGCGCCGTCGCCGACCCTGTTATCATGGCTTTGCGGGGTGTCGGGAGAACCTGATCCAGGGTGGTGACAATTCAGCCAGCTGAGCCGGTGAGATGCTTACGTCGCTAGAGGTTTCAGTCAATCAACAGCACAGCAGATAAGTTGTCGAGGTCGACTTACAACGCACTCATCAATCAACGCATGCATGCGGTAATTCGCCGACACACGAATAATTGCGCCGAGGGGTTTTTAATTCTACCGAGAGGATCGAGTTGCATGAAACGTCGCGTAGTTCTACAGCGAAGATCGTCTATGTCAGCTCCCACGGAAGCTAAGGGTCGTCCTAAACGACCTCGGAATTTTACCTGCGATCGCAGGTTTCAGACCCCGGATCGCAGAAAAATAAATGCGGGCGTTTTAAACGAAGCAGAGCACAAAATTTAAAAAACCTGCGATTTCTGCGATTTTGGCGGTCAAACCGCTCCCGACGACCGCAGAGGCCGTACACAACAGCAGAGGCCGTACACAGCAGACAAACATCCACCGTGGCCGACCAAAACAGTGTGACACCGCGGGTATCAAGGCCCAGGAGGGTTGGTTCCCTTCCTTTACGGTTCCAGACGAGCGGGGAAGCAGTTGCTGCTGCTGGTTATGGGTTAGGACGGCCTCAAATGCCTCCTGCTGTGGGCATCAGCCCTCCGCCAGGCATGTCTCGCGAGGTCGTCGCCGGGAGTACCACCGCTCGCTCAGCCCTGCAAGGTCGTCGGCAGGCGTCTAGGATAGATGCTGCGGCACGTACAGCTCAGCGGCCTGTGCTCCTGCCGTTGCAACACCGACCAGGACAAGGAAGGCCATCACGGCGGCCTTGATCGCAGCAGTAGAAGTCGTATCATGGTCTCTTTGGTCGGAGCGCCGCAGCCGCCACCTTTGCGGAGCCGTCTGTGAGGTTCCCCGAAGCTCCCGGCGCCTTCTATTGTCGGCCATGGACCCTAGCCTACTCTGGCGATCAGTTCTGGGGGTTATAGTGCAGCTACGGGGGTGATACAGGTGGCTTGGTGTGCTGTGCCCGATCCAACGTGATGCTCTCAAGAGAATCGCAGAAATCGCAGGTTTGTACCTGCGATCGCAGAAAAGGAGCAGAGGTGATTTTTTCGGCCCTGCTCCCGACCTGCGATCGCAGGTAAAAAGCCTCCATATTCGCAGGTAAAACCTGTGATCGCAGGTTTCGCAGGGTTTTTTTGGCCTGTTTAGGTCGACCCTAAGCGCCCAATTTTTTGTGTGCAAATGGTCTCCCCATCAGTCGTGCCTTGCGCTTATGTATTATTGCGTTGCGCAACGTCGTACCCCCCGCCTCCTCGTTCGTCATGTGTGCACACAGACGGCGCCGGTCGACTGGCGCCAGCAGTCTACGGAAACATTTGTTGCGTCCATGGACAGCATGGGGTATGACAACGCGCTGAAACACTTGGAAAGAATAGGCTCGACGTTTGCGAAGGACACCCGAAAACGCTTACGAGGTTTGGAAGACAAGGTCAGCAGAACAGCCTCGTTGGAGCGAGCAATCGAGCAGGCGCAAAAGCAACGTAGAACCAAGGAGGGAAGCCGCACGTTGCAAACGATCCTCACCGCTGCGGCCTTTCCTGTCGACGGCGTAGACGAGGTTCCATCGTTGTCGGCAGCACGTAGGGCAAAGGCGCTGGGGGTTGGCCAGCACGCCTTCAACTCCGCGGTGGAGCGTGCCAAGAATTTGCTGTCCGATCTTGATCCAACCGAGGCGATAAAACGCGGTGTCTACTGGTTTTGGCCCCGAGCTAAGCAAAGCAATGCCGCCAGCGAAGAGCTTGTCGAGTCAAGAGAAGAGCAGGTTGCGGGAAGTCAAGGTGTTGGGTGCAGTAGCGAGCAGATGGAAGGGTAAGGGGGCTGGGTTGCAGGATCCGGTGTCGGGGGAGGAAGACGTGACTTGCAGAAAGGTGAAACGGACGTACAGGCTCAGGAGTCGGCTGGCGTCTTGCTTCTGCTCGGCGTGCCAGCGTTGCGAGTATGAGCAGTGCGACGTCAGCAAGACGTACCCACGTCTCGTTCCCGCATTGCAAGAGGGCGAAGTGAAGGAAACGGTGATCATGGACACTGGAGTAGCGCCCGTAGATGAAGATAACTCCCGGGGGATCCAGTTCGGGAGTAGGAGGAAGGAATGCAAGATGAAGAGAATCACTGAGACACGCTGGCAAGAATACGAGTCTGCTGCTGCGTCAAAGATTTGGGAAGAGCTTGGTAGGAAGGAAGAGCCCCATATTGTTGCCCGTTTCGGGCGGTGGGCTGGTTTTTAAGTGATGCGCTTATTGTATTTCTTGTGGAGCAGTAGGTGGGGTTCAAAGCCCGTTTGAGGTACAACTTGGGGGTGTGGGGGGCGGGGGGTACCCGAGAAGATGTGAACAAAACTTAAAATATTTTGATTTTCTTCAAAGCGAGATGATGCTGCCAAATATGTGCCTGTAACTCAAGACCAAAATGCGATTGAAAAAAACGACCACGGATTCGTAATCCCCACCCCAAAATTTCCCTGACCTGAATTTTTCAGATCGATCTGACCACTTTTGAAAAGTGGGGATTTTTCGGGACCATCCCCGGGGTTTTGCGTTTTTCGAATTCCCTGGGTAAAAAACCGAATCTGAGTTGAAACCCGGTCAAAAACAGTACCAAAAAAAAAAAACGAATCCACTACTTACATCCACGAGGTAGTATGTCATAAAAATTTCAGACCTTAGCCAGGGATGTTTCATCACCATCCCCCTCCCTAAAAAATCATGACGGTCAGTTGCGGATGGCGCCCACCATGGGTGATGTGCACGGAGCCATTTATCATTCAGAGGTGTGACAAAGATAGTTCAAGGCATGAGGGATAGTTAGACAGGCTCCATGTCTCTGACCGCCGGGTACCCCAAACAGAACCGATGCAATTGCAGTAAACATCCTTTGGACAAACAATATCCACGTTTTGGCAACTGTGTTTCTATCTTTTGCGCCTAAGCGACTTTCCAACTTCCAGCCCTCAACAAGGAAGGCTTAACAGTCACGCCACTACAGGCACTTGGAAATGAATGAAACCTTAGGAGTTGGGTTGATTTATGCGGGAGTTGATTGGATCGGCTGCGGAACCGAGCGTTAAAGAGTGGTCCGTGGGAACTGTACTGTAATTTTCCAAGTGGTACCCCCCTGCAACGCTGGAGCTGTCGCAGTACACGGTAGCGAAACCCGGAACGGTCATTGTTGCTCTCGTTGAGTAGTTGCCCTGAGCCTGATGCCGTTTGACACACACGTGTTACCAGGAAAGCTACGATGAGAACTGTTGGGACCCCTAGAGGGATGAAGGCCAGTGGTTCAACCCTTTCATGACTTCGGAGCAGACATGAATTCGCACAAACCAAGCCAACGCGCTTGCAGCCGAACCCAAAGTAAAAGAGACCGACACAAACATGCCGGACTGCAACATCGTCTATGCAAAGCCCCGAAACTAGAGCCCTCTTCCCCCCTCTTGCCCCTCTCTCGCATGTATTGCTAGAGGGGGGTAGGACACGTCACAACCGTTGGGAAAAGCACCAACAAAATAGCCAACAAAGCAGGAAATACGTCTCGAGGCGATTTCGCCCCCCTACCACCCAGCCCCACACCAACAAAACGCACCGTACGTCAATGGCGGAAAAACAATACCTCCTCAACATCAGAGGCGCAAAAACAAAACAGAGGCCTTTGAAATACTATCTAACTAGGCCGGATCAGACAATGCTAAGTAGCCCGCTCTTGTGGCAGACCAGCGCCCGACGACAATCCCGACGACGGTGAAAAACAAGGCTCCCACACCGAGTCCAATCTTGTCCTGCCAAGAGACCAAGGTTGTCGGTACGGCGGTGGACTTCGTTCGGTCCGCAGCCTGGGTGGAGCCTGCGGTGGCCGACGACGGCGGCGATACTTTTACGGAGTGGTACGGCGAAGAGGTTTCCTCGTGCTTTTGGTTGGAAACGTTCTCGTTCCCACCGTCAGAGGAGGAGGAGGAGGAGGAGGAGGAGCCTTCCGCCGCCTTGGTTTCGTTCTCGTCGATCTTGGTGGAGTCGTGGCATGTGGACGATGGTGGGTGTCGCAAGCAGGCCATGCGAGAAAAGGAAACGATTAGTCAAGAAGCAGCCGGGACAGCGTTTCAGGTTTGGTCATGTGGTGAGGCTCAGACGAAAGACAAGGAGGTGGGGGGCGCGCAACGTCTGTGATGCCGCCAACATGCCGGAGTCAAAGAGAGCAAGCAGACACACAAGTGGTTGCCGTGAAAACCTAGTTTAGATTTACGACGTGTGCGACTGAACATCATTTGCGGCAGCTGCCGTCACAGCAGTTGGTCATGACGTCAAAGAAACCTGGCAGTAGCTACGTGGTCGCTGCTCGCTCTCCTCAGTGGTGGATTGTCAGTACAGCAAAGCTCGACAAACCTGGCTACCGCAGCAACAAGGAACGGTACGCACCCACTCGTTCAACTGCTCCGCCAAGACATCGGCCTCAGCAATAACTAATTCAGCTATTATGTCGGTTGAAATCTGATATTCAATCTCAATACATACAGTAGTCCGGTCACCTCCAAGCTGTCGAAAAACCCGACTGCCTCAAGCCAGGACTGCGGGTAGAACATCTTGTTCATCTTCACTCTCTCGGCCGTGGGATCCTGGAACGACGCCGACCAGAACCAGAAAAACGAAAGGAAACCAAACGACATAACGAGCAACGAGCAACCACGGGAATTCGCCGACGATTGACAAAAAAAATAAAAGAAAAAATCAACTCTACACGCAGCCATGTTATCTTTATTTAGCCGCGGTTGAACAGCATATTGTCAAGTTAAATATTGTACAATATTTCGCCTCCTCGTTTCCACTGTACTCAGGTGACAGTCGTGCAGCACAACCAAGTTGAAGCACGTTCCTTTTCTTCGCTCCACTCACGCACCTCCATCTGGTAGCCGTCGTGGTACCTAGCCACGAGAGTCTCGAAGAGGGTGTGGTAGCTCGACACGGCCGAGATGGCCGACTCATTCGAGTGCTGTGCGAGCATGCTTCGAGCGCCCTTGAGGTCTCCTTGGCTCACGAGTTCAGCCGCCGCGTACTCCAGGTCCGCCTGTTACGAGTGCCCAACCAGTGTTGCGGTACAGTCAGAACTCAACTGAGCAAAATGGGCTCGTACGCTCACACACACCACAAACGCAGGAACACAGAACATATCATAACAAAGCGAAGGATACTAGAGGCACCCGCTTTTTCCAAGTTCAGCAAGGGCTGTGGACTGCATTCGCTGCCACGACCAGTACTACAGCCAATACTGTCGCAACTTCCATTCCACGCTGGGCACGGTTCAGCTGGAACACTTCCGTACATGGTGAACTTGGAGCCGCGAGGCCCCCAGTCCAACTGCCACTGGCGCCGCTACTTGCAGCCCAGATCCCCCATAAACCTCAAAAAAAGAACTACCACCCACCCACAAGACAGACACGTGCATTTCCGGTTACAAGTTGCGCCGTCGATGCCACCCAAAAAAGGACCAACAGAACATTTTCGGCTAACAAGCAAGTTCACTTTTTTGGTTCAATCCAAGGCTCACGTGCTTGAACTGGTCGGCCAGGTAGCCTGGTCGGTGCTGAGAACACAAACACACGCTGAGACTGGCGTCTTTCATTGGTCAAGCGGTTAGATCGTCGGCGTTACAACTTCAAAAACTGAACAAAACACACACATATACCTGTCCTGCGAAAAGAGGCTCCTCGAGCTTGGACTGCTGGACCGCCACGTCTTCGTGGGCGAACATTCGGAAGCGCTCCGCCCAGTTGCCCACGACGCTGAAGGCCCAGTACGAGGCTTCCTTGCTGAACCGCAGGAGAGAACCGATCGTGTAGGACCTGGGAACCTGTGAGAACATATGAAGGCCCAACGTTCGCAAGCGAGCGAAACCACGGACAGCAGTGACGGTTTTACATTTGGCGAGAAACCATATATCGTGGTTCTTTTTTCTGGGTGTCAAGCACAGGTTTTCTGTCGATTTCCTTTCAGTTGATTGCTTTTCTATTGTCGCTTCTGAGGCCATGCTCGTGCGTATCTATCGGTCTTCCCGTCCCTCTATCTTTCCACCACTCGTTTTGACAAGGGATGCGATTGAGGTGTCATTTGTCGAGAAGCGGCTGGGAAAGACGCACCGCTCATCTTGAGGAGTGACTTCGATTGAAGTACGAGAAATACTTCATCAAGATAATATTCCAGTTGCACTTGAGGTGTTGTTTGCCGAAATGTCATTCAAGATTGATATATATGTGAGGTGATAATTCGACTGATATGCCATTCACATCGAGAAAGTGGTCACCTAAGACATGCTGGTAAGCCGATCTGTGTATGACGGTTGAGAACGTGCCGAGGCTGAGCGTACCACTCGATGACCAGCGCCATCGATCGATGTGACGGACTTTTCTTACCTCCTCGGCACCGACGTAGATAGGGATGCAGGTTGACATGCTAGGCTTGTACTGCGAGACCCAGAGCAGACCTCCGACCTCGTCAGGTAGGAAGGACCTCGACTGGGTCACAGTGCTGTATGAAGTCCTGGAAACACGAAGCAAAAAAATACACATAGCCCGCGGGGGGCCAACAACGTGTTGAGCGTCGTTGAGGAGACGGCCGGAGCGCTGCTCCCACTAGCCGATTCTCAACAAAGTATTCAAGTACGCATGTACTATCCAGTCACTTTTGTCACGTGAGTGCCTACCCATCTCCCAGTAACATTTCTCAGTCATAGTTCCCGTTATTTTTGACATTTAGTGCTGGCCCTTCCATTGCGCACAAAAGCACCCGCGAAGCGTTGTCCGCGTTGCGTGACGTCAAGAGCACAATCGAAACAGGAAGTTACGAACACAGGTGCAGCGCCAGTGTCCAAGGTAGACCTGCGCGTCTCACAGGTGCGCCGCTTGCTCCATGCAATGGAAGATCTTACCTACTGTATATCACCTCAATTTTCGTTCGTGTTTGCTACGGTTTTTCACCTGAAAAGCGAGATCGACCTCTCGAAGAAGCCTTTCTTAGAGTTTTCCAGGTTGGTACTACCATCTAGCGAAGGCCCACAATCGTACCGATCCACATCACCGAATGGTCCTGTTTGCAAAAGAAAGCAGGTAGACAAAATGGAGGGTTGGAAGGGGGGGTGCCCCCAAAGAACACGGTTCAGAAAATATGACTGGGATGGTCAGCACACGGCCAACGCAGCATAGAAATCGAAAAAAAAAAAGTGAACATATCAAGAATGTTGATTCTGGTTTTCGGAAGCGTAACCCTGCTTCTGCAACCTAACCAGGAAAAGGTGAGTCAGTCTCTTGTTGTGGCCGATTGGAAAAACACTTCGATGTAACAAAATAAAAGAAGTAGCATTTTTGTGTACGACGACCAGCCGTCTTTGTCACTTCGCGTCTCCACTGCCATCACACTCGTACACGACGCACCATACTAGCCTCATTAGGCAAACAAGACATTGCAAACACAGCTACCAGAGTAAAAAACGCTACACGAATAATTGTCATGAAAGGACGGCTAACACCCAGCTCACACCCTTAGGTCCAATCTCTGGAGAAAAACTCGCGTCGAACGCTCCACGGGTCACACTGGCAGACCGCAATATGTCGTGCAACGCGCTGCTCGCTGAGACAGATCACGCACCCTGATGCGATGCGACGCGACGCGACGAAAAGTTACGTTGTCTGCGCTGCACGACCGGAGTACAAAACGCCGTGCGCGTGATACATACGTGATGGATTGCGCACGGGATGGCTTTCTCACCTGAAGCAAGACCAACTCTCAAGTCGAACTCCGTGCCTTCGTAGTGGTCGCGCACTATCCTCCACACGTCTTGGGTGGTGATGGGATTGTCCGGCCTACTCCGCGGTGGGGACAAAAAAGTTGTTCATGGAACACGTACGCGTGGTACGCTTTTTTTAGCTGAAATGGGGGTGTCAATCAGATCGAATCAATTCGACATCACCTGTCATGTCCTTGCGGCAAGAAAAACAGGCCAGCTCTTGAGTCTCCCACGCAAAACACCAAGTACAAAATTCGAACAGTGCTCCGAAGCTTATCTGAGCATCGGATACAATTTACATTCAACACAAACACACCGCAAAACGCTGCAATCAGGAAAAAGCAACCATGCTCACCTTGCCGAGAACGGGTGCCCCTGGCCGAACGTGTCCGTGAAGGGAGAGAGGCCCAAGCTAGGAGCGAAGGTGTCCAAGACACGCCTGTCGAGGGGGGTGAGGGTGAGGTAATCACGCACCGAGACTGTGGGCGGAGGCGGCGGTGAAGATCGGAGTACACTTTTTCGGGGTACTTGGTTGACGGCTGATACGCCTAACCGTAGATGAACGCACGGCTACGTATGCACCTGCCTCCACCCAAGAGGCGCCCAACTTGTAAGAACTGCTGTTACGAACACGTTTTTTTATGAATGTGTTTAATCACAAAAAAACGTCGTTGATGCACGCAGTCGCGACAGGACGCAAAAGAACGCATGCCTCGAACACAAGGTGCTAAACACCCAGCGAGGAGCACATGGGTCGGAAGCAAGCAAAATACAAAAAATTGAGCACCACAATCTACGTTCCATACAGTCAGAACCTAACCATGATGCAAGGAACACCGCAAAGTGCCCTCGCACCGACACATGTTTTGAGGAACTCCTACTCGGACCAGAAAGCAATCCATCCAAGAGCGACACCACTCACCAGACGCGGCGCGTGCTATACGCGAAGTGGGGGAAGTCATCCGGCCTAGTGCCGAACGCTTTTGCGAAGTGCAGGGGGAACCCCGAGCCCCTCTTGTACCCGCAACCTCCTTTCTCCGCCACCTCAAACAAGTTGTCCGAGAACATGAAGTCGGGGTGAGGGTCCGGGTACACCTGAGGTAGGTGATCAGCGGGCCGAGAGAGACCAAGGGAAAAAAAACAAACGATCAGGGAGAGAACTGGCGGGGTGGGGGGGGAGGTTTCTTTCTTCGTGTCGTGTTGAAAATGTCACGGACGGTTCTAAACACCGTTTACCGAAAAAGCAAAGATCGGTGAGAAGTTGCAGCACCGATAAAGTCGTAGTCTTGAGGTAATTCTGACGTCCCTTGCCGCGGGGCTAGGGATATTTCCCGTTGTCCCCGGATCCCTCATCTACCGGAAGCGAGAAAACACAACATTCAGAACAAGTATGCATATACCAAGAGCGCAAACACAGAAATTTTAGCACACCAAGATACCAGAAGTGCCAACGACAGCAAAGTCAGCACACCTACCGTGAGTGACACAAGATAACACACCCCGGTGGTAACATTTCTGAGTTTAAAAATATTTATCACCGGTGTGGTATCCTGTGGGGGGTGTGGTATCTCATGTATCCCGGGTGATAAAGTGCAGTTCGCAGGGAGCCCTAACGGGGTGTGATAAACCGGGGGGGGTGATAGCACGTCGGACCACCCACAGGGTATGTTTGGGGGTGTGATAAATAGGGGGTGTGATAAAAAGGGGGTGTGATAGCACGTCCCAACACCCACGTGTGATGGTAAATGAAGGGGTTTGTTATACTGCCCCGCACATACCATGGTACGCCACCTACCGTAATGTAATACTGCGAGATGTGGTAAACAGACGGGGCTCAACGGAGGTGACGAAACGCTTGAGCACATGACCTCGACGATGTGTTACCCGCTCAACGCCAAAGAAAGTTTCAAACAAAAACGGACTTGAATGGAGCAGAAAAAAACGAAAAAAAAATGTTAGGATCGAGGGCGCCCGCGCCCCGCGGCGCTGCGGCAAGTAAGGTGTCGCCTGGGAGCTAGGTATACGTTATGACCCAGGAACGGCGGGGACAAGAACCAAAAATGATAACCGGTCCATCTACCAAGCAGCATCCGTGTTTCTATCATGATTGCAGGATCAAAAACTAAAAACACAAAAATCAAAGGTACCTCGCCCGATATATTGCCAGGCGGTCGCCACAGAGTGGCCATTCCGTCCTACCCCCTCACAAACAAGTACCTAGTAGGCCGCTGCTACCTACCTTGCTACGTCACCACGACCAAAAAAAATCAAGACCACTAACCACTACCGCAAACAACACTACGTTGCACTCGACGCGTCGAAGAAAACACACGACGAAGGAAGAGAAACGCACGCCAGGAGAAATGCGAGGGAACATGAGAAGGACACCACAAGCCATTTCTCAACACCAGCATCGCCGCCGATGCCTCACGGCTCCTCGCCCTCGTCGTCGCTGATGTCCACCACCACCACGCCCGTGTCGTCGTCATCGTCGATCTCCAACACCTCCAGCAAGCTGCCGCCTCCCGACGACGAGTCAGCCATGTCCGCACCGGCCGATGGCGCGTCGAGAGGCTCCCCCTGGGCGTTGGAGTTGAGCTCCTTGTTGGCCCAGGCCTCGTCTTCCGACCCGTCGAAGGGAAGCAGCAGGCCAGCCTTCCTCCAGCTCGCGCGGACTTCATCCGCGGTCAAGGCGTCCCACGACTTCTTGACCCACTGTGCGACTAACCCCCGCGAAGGGGCCTCCGGGTAGCCGTGGTCGCCGCGTTTGACGTGAGGGGAAGCCATGTGGTCGTCGTAGAGCCTGGACATGTTTGCCTTGAAGATCTTGTTGACGAGGCCATCGCACGGCTGGAGCTTGGGAGTCAGGCCTCCCGGGATGAGAAACAGCGTCGTGTTGGACTCCGCCATCGCCTTGGTAGACGCGTCCGTCTTGTGGACGGTGTAGTCGTCCCACGCCAGCAGCGTGTCAGGCTGACGGTAGCCGCCCAGGCGACCCTGCCGCCCCGGGCGCTGGTTCCACACCTGAGGCAGCCAGACCTCGTTGAACACCCGCTGGGAGTGCCATGCCTTCGGGTCCACGGCGTAGACGACACCTCGAGGGTATGCGTAGCCCTTCTTGTCCTTGTAGTCCTTGAACTCGCGCTCGATGCTGTTGGCGGCAGGGGCCTTCCCCTTCGGCGTGGGCTGGCCCTTGAAGATGACGAGGGGCGGCAGCTTGCTGCCGTCGGCGAACACCGTCAGGACCGAAGTGATGCGCATCTTCTCCTTGCCGCCGGTTTTGCGCCAACCTCTTTGTCGCCGGTGCGCTGCGGGATTCCATAGAGCAGCGAAAAGCGACGTCAACGTCGGGTATGCAGAAACGATTTTTCATGTCAAGCTTGAAAGTGAGAGCAGCGGTTGTAAAAAAATATAACCAAAATCAGCGGAGGACAGGACGCCCAAGAAAAGACGGAAACTACGCATGTACATATATATCGTACACTCAAACTAGGTACGTACATGTATGGAGGCCAAGATAGGGATCGCTATATCGAACGAAGCGTGAGGGAAAACTAGGGCAAAAAAGAAACAATCAGGCACTCACGTTCACAGTGTTGTTCCCCGGGTTCTCCATCCACGTAGGAGTCTCATCCATGTTGGCGATCTGCGCCAAGGCGAACTTGGGACTCGGCCCCGACGGAACTCCAGCGCCACTCCCACCCCCGCTGCCGCTCGCGCTGCCTCCCGCCACTGCCCCCAGGCATTCGACTCCGTCCGCAAGCTCGAGCGTGGAAGGGACGTCGTACTTCAGCCTCCTCCACTCCTTCATCGCCTGCATGGCGATCACGGGCCAGCCGGTAGGAAGTTTCTGGCCTTGACGGGTGACGGCTCGCACAGAAAAGCGGTAGACCCTGAGAAACCTTCTGCACCACGCGGTCTTCTTGCGGGTGTACCGCAGGTTGCCCTCGATGTCGGACGGCGGCGGCCTCTCCCCGAAGAAGTTCGGGTTGAGTTCCGTGGCCTTGTTCTTGATCATCCTCGTCGAGACACGGGCGGAGATGCCGTCAGAACGCAGATCATTGATCCAGTCCACGACCTCGCGTTCGGCGTCCGTGTGCGTCCTAGTCCGTCCGACGTTCAGCGACATGCGGTGCTTGGCTTTCTTCCTGCCCTTCACTCGCGAGTACTTGGTCTCCTCCGCAAGCGCGGCTTCGTACTTGTCGACGTCTTTGACCCACGCCGCCAACGTGGCCTTGTCGGGAATCTTGAGGATCCTGCTGGCGTATGTTACGCCAACAGTCCCGCCCGGTCCTTGCGCCCCCTTGAGCTTTCTCTGCGAGTACCTCACGGCATTCACCTTGAACTGCAAGGTGTAGCGCTTCCTTTGGGTTCCACCACCATGGTCGGGAATCGGGAAGTCCGGCGGCTCCAGCTCCAGCCGCCCTTTCTTCCTCTTGCCCTTGTTCTGTGCCGGCGTACCGAAGAGAACGCCGCCGAGCCCATCTCCCCACTCTGTCTCTCCGGGAAACATCATGTTGCCGGATTTGCCATCGTTGGCCACCGGAGCTCCTGACGCTGGTGCTGGTGTGGGTGTTGCTGCTGCCGCTGCTGGTGTTGCTGCTGCCGCTGCTCCTGCGCTTCCTGATCCTGGAGCTGGTGCCGGTGCTGGAGCTGGCGCCGATGCTGGAGCTGGCGCCGGTGCTGCTCCTGATGGCGGCGCTCCGGGCGTGGAGCCCGCCCTACAAAAGACAAGAGTAGACATCATGTGCGGGATGGAACGAAGCGGTCAATGTTTGAACGCACGAAAACATGTGTCGTGTGGGTAGAAACCAAAGATTCCTTTCATAAAGTGCTGGCTGACTTTTATAGTCGAAAGGGCACCGTTTCCAATTCTCCAAATACCGTTTGCGGTTGAAAGTACCGTGAGGGTGAACAAAAAATTGCAAAACAGGCAGGGATGCACCATCTAGGTACCGGTAAATCAGCGGCAACAATGCTGCGATAATTACAATTTACAATTTACAATTTACAATTGTTGTAATTTTACCATTCGTGGGTGAATTAAACACATGTGCAAAGCAGAGAACAACAACTGGAAAATTCCTCAGGTACGCCAGCTGCAAACAAAGCTGCGGTATTTCCGCAACACAAAACGCCATGCAGGAACAAAAATCATATATGCCTAGGTACACACGCACATACAAAAATGTGTTGACCGCGGGAACGTGTGGCGCACAAAAAGCTACGCACAAAACAACTTCAAAAATGTGTACCGCGAACGTGTGGCTCAAAAACCAATGTCAAAAAATTACACGAACGCGGGAGTCTGCGGGTGGCGCAGAAGCCAACCCACAATTGCACGTTTCGAGACCACACGCGGACCGATACCACTGCTATACGCCAAACCCACGAAGCACACACACACATTTCTCACTTGGATCGTTCTTCCGTGCCGAATGAAGTGCTTGGCTCCTGGTCCTCCGCCACGTCCTCCACCACCAGCTGAGAGGCTTGGCTGGTGGCGCGTGTTGACTCCTCTGCGGTACTCGTACGTGCAGCTGAGAGCGAGTCAGCAACTGGCTGCTGGTGAGGCGAGGCGGTGGCTGTCATGTTGGCGCCTGTTGCGGTGCCAGCTGCTGCTGCTGTCGTTAGATCAACAGCAGCAGCAGCAGCAGCAGCAGCAGCAGGAGGAGGAGGAGCCGAAGCAGGAGGCGCTTGCGTAGAAGAAGGTTGCTTGGTTTCAAAGAACGAGGTGATTTGCGACGCCTGTGCTGCTGCGGTCGAAGCAGCTGCGGAGGTACTTGCGGCGGCAGTCTGCTCTTCTTCCCGCACGTTCATGTGGTTGGAGGTCTCCATGCGGGGTGTTTTCCCCGCACACGGAGGGTGTGTTTTGTGTGATGCCCAAGGGCAGATGCTGCCACCCCGGTGATAAAAAAAAAAAGAAAAGGAGGGGCCCCGTGAATACATGCGGCGTAACCTGATTTATCACCGGGGTGTGTTATTTTGTGTATCCCGGGTGATAAATCGATGGTTTGCGAGAAACGCCCAAAATTATCACCGGGGTGTCGTATTCTGTGGGGGGGTGTTATCTTATGTCAGGTAGCTTATCTTGTGTCACTTACGGTAATACCAAAGGCGCAAAAACAGAAAGTTGATCATATCTCTGTACCAATAGCGAAGAAGGAAGAATACCACACCTATCTACATATCTATTACTCATTTTGGCGTTGAAGCCCCAAGCTGCAGCCCTCCAGTTTGTCTCGCAGGATGCAAAATCAGCCGAAAGGCTCGCGCCGCGTTCATCAAAAACCAGCACGATAATCCCGTACCGCGAAGCAATTGTAGTTTCCACGTTTTTTTCGGCAGTGAAACCGTACCGACTAGCGTTGAACGATGCAAGCCCATAACAGCGGCCGGTCGGATAAAAACGGCGTCGGGGCCGCAGCGAGAGTCATGCTTTTCACGAAGACACAGTTAAATCTCACTCACCTCCTTGATGATGAACTGGTTGGCCACGACGGAGACGTGATCAGCCGGTACCCTTTGCGCCGCCCAGATGGCACTCTTTGCGGAAACGTGACGGAAGGACAACGGCACACGGCAAGGGCTGATGGGTGAAATTAACGGCAGAAACGTGTTCGTGCTCAGCAGCTGGCCCGGCATCAGCTATGAAAACTGGAACTATTCTGCCGGCCACAAAACCTTCCTTTGTGCCTCTTTCGATCTTCTACAATCCCTCTCCGTGGGACGTTCGAACAAAGGTGAGGGACAAAGACAGACAGAGAGGCGGTGAGAGAGAAAAAGACAGATTGAAAACAGAGACAACCGGCGCACTGTTAGGGGTGCCAATCGGGCTGATTTTGGCGGCAAAAAAGTGACCGGCCTATTCGAGGATTTTGGGAAAAAAAGGGGGGGCACGCGGATTGTTGGTTCTCAGCTTAGCTCTTGAAATCATACCGATCAAAGTATACTTTATCCTCCGTATGTTTGTTCAAGAGTCCCTGCGTCCAGGCAGCGATGTGGCTCTTCATACGTCACACACATCTGGAGACAGGTCATCTACACGTGACTGCGGATTCGTTTTCTACTGACGTTCAAAGGGCGGGCGAACAACACAGAAAACCCTATGAAATTCGGTTTGAAGGCTCACGCTCATGGCCGCGTTTGGTGATCGTAGAACAGCGGATCCGCAGCGCACAGCCTCGGGTTTTCATCGACACAACGCAAGAAACCGAACTAGAATCGCACAAACTACCAGCGAACCGCATGTCTGAAAATGGCCAGTCAAGCTCGCCAAGCACCGCGGTCGAGGTCCCCAAAAAACGCAAACGCTCCGCCTTCGGCGCGGGAGGAAAACATCGATTTCGTCGCAACCTCAACAAAAACGAACGCAAATACATAGAGCGGGAGGGGCGGACCTTTGCCGACGCGGCCGGAGCAGCGCACACACAGCGCGCGGTCGAAAGGGGCGGTGTTGCCGTCGCGCAGAAAGCGCTGACAGCAAAGGAGCAGGAGTTGATTGAAAGTAGACAGCGCGAGGCGGCGAGCGCCGCTGGGTGCAGCATTGCTCAGCTCGCGCGAGAGAGCACCGAGGCGCTGAAGGAGGAGAAGGCTAAGAGAGAGGAGGCAGAGCGGTCCCACCGCCCGGCGCCTCCTCGGGTGTGCCACCAGGCATGTTTGCTAGATTGCGGACCGCGCTGAGGTGCCGTGTTCTGCCTCCACCGCAGGGCAGAGCGCGTTCACACACCCTTCGCGCTCGCGTGTGGGAGCCGGGTGTTTTTCGTTCTGTCGGGGTTCTCCGGAGCGTTCTATGTGATTTGATTGGCTCGAGCGATTTTCCATCTGGAAGATCCAGGTCACTTTTTGAAAAAATTTCCTTCAGGAAATTTGACCGATTGGCACCCCTAACTGTTGCTTGCCACTTGGACTTTCAAGCTGAGCTTCTTCGCAGCGAACGAATCGTGCCGTTTGTCTTCCACCCCGACTCGCCTGCCTACCCGCCCCCGCCCCGCCGTACAGCTTGTCTCGCTTGGTCATACCTTAGTAGTATAGTCGGACAGAATGTGGAACACCCAGGCCTCGTCAGGGTCAGTGACGGTCAGAGCCTCACCCGCCTGGCCAAAAACGAGAACGAAATAGTAACACCACGATGCGAAATGACACAGTCACACGGAAAGCCAGGGGAAACAAGTGTTACCGGTTGTTCGATCCATGTATGGATAGTTGACGCCACGTAACACCTCTGTACGGTCACAGATCTGCTCAGAAGCAAGCAACAACGCCGGTGGGCACCTCCCTCTGTTTCTCACTCACACACCTGGAATGACACAGGGCACGCACTCCATACCAGAAGCAATACCTACATGAACCCCGCGATTGCGGCAAGTTGAAACAAAGCGTATTGTGTCGCGAACCGCATTCAACACACGGTGATCACACAATCGCTCTTCAGCTGAAGCAATCAATTTTTCTTCCCCCACGGGAGTACTACCCTTACTTTGAAGTAGTCAACCACGCCAGAACAACATCAAATAGGTCGCATCGCGCCAAAAAAAAAAAAAAAAAAAAAAAAAAAAAAAAAAAAAAAA